GCCTTCTTGAGCGCCTTGCGCTCCTCCTTGGACAGCTTCTTCTCGTCCTCGTCCGCGGCAACCTTGGCGGGTGTGGAGGGGAGCATGGAGGGTGCATGGCTGGCGGCAGCAGCCATGTCGCTCGGGCCAGCAGCGTCGGCAGCGGCGTTGTACGAGCGACCGCCCGCCTCCATCTGGAAGGCCTTCTGCTTGTAGCCGTTGTCGCCGGCGGCGTTCCTTGCGGAGCGCATGCCGGACATGCCGCTCTGCATCTCGAGCGCACGCAGGCGCGACTCGAGCTTGGCGCGCGCCTCGATGCCGACGGTGGGCGCGCCCTCGTCGCCCTTGGTCTCGGCATCGGCGAGCGCGTCGAGGCGGATGGAGAGCGCGGCCTTGGTGGCGACCATGCGCGCCATCTTACCCTTGAGCTTCTGTGGCGCCTGGCCGACGAGCGAGGTGTGGTAGATGAGGCCGTACTTGGGCGTGTCGTGCTTGGTCTTGAGCGCGCGGAAGAGCGCCTTTTCGGCGCCGAGGATCTGCACGGTCGAGGCCGGGTGCTTGGCGAGGTTCATGAGCGAGCCGGCGTGGCTGATGAGGCGTGCGCCGACGAGGTCGCCGACGAGGGCGGTGAGGTTGGGCGCGATGGCGGCCATGCGGTTCTGGAGGTACTGGTAGAGCTGGGTGCGGTACTGGGTGATGGAGATGACCTGGTCGCACAGGCTCCAGATGTGCTCGAGGTCGGTGTCGGAGATCTCGGTGCCCATGGAGATCTCGGCGGCGGCCTTGAGGGTCTCCTCGATCTCCTCGGGGAGGATCTCGGAGAAGTCGGTGGCGGAGGCGTTGGTGCGGAAGCCCATGGCGCGGATGACCTTGGCGTAGGCGAGGTTGTCGGTGATGATCTTGCCCATCTCGGGGAAGTGCCAGCCGTACCACTCCTTGACGCGCATGGCGTAGATGTTGATCTCCTTGTCGAGGTCGTCGAGGAGGCCGATGGCCTGGACCACCATGGTGTCCACCTTGTCCGGGCTGAACTTGAGCTTGTAGCGACTCAAGGAGTGGGAGAGGCCGAGGCTCATGGTGTTGAGGTCGCGCGGGTCGAGCGACTCGCCGCCGGAGGAGGAGGAGAGGAGCGTGGCGAGGTTCTCGCGGATGCCGCGGTAGAGGTCGAGCAGCTCCGAGTCGTAGGTGACCTGGATGCCGAGCTTCTTTGCGATGGTGGAGGCGAGCTTGGACTCGGCGACGATGAGGTTCTCCTTGTCCTTGCCCTTTGCGTCGACGATCTCGTCGGTGAGGAACTTTTTGAGGCTCTTGCTCATCTTGCCCTCGTTGATGGCCGAGATGTCCTCGACGGCCTCGGCGGTGTTGGTGAAGCGGTGGATGGCGGAGAGCTTGAGGAGGTTGGTGGCGCCCTGGGCCGAGTCGAGCGACTCGTGTAGGTTCTTGGTGGACTCGAGCTTGGACGAGTCCGACACGTTGAAGAGGCAGAAGCCCACGGCGGTCTCGAAGAGTACCTTGACCATGGCGACGGTGGGTCTGTGGCTTTGCGGCCGGTGCAGACGGTGAAGAGGGTTGGATGAAAGCGAGACGCCCAGAGATCGTCGGTGGGGGAGGTCTCGATTCTGAGAGGCAGCTGTGGCGTCTCTGCGTGCTCAAGACGAGGCGATCCGAGCAGGTGGTGATGGTGACGGTGATTAGTGCAGGAGAAGAAGAACTGCAAACCCGCTTTGCTCTTCACCGCGCCGCTGCCGCCGCTGCTGCTGCTGCTCACTCTGCCTTGCAACTCTGCCGACGAGAGAGCACAAAAAAATGCCACTCGACAGACGCTGCTCGCCGCCGTCCTCGAATTTTTTTCGCCTCTGAGAAGAGGAGTGCAGTCTGCTTGCTGCAAAAGCCTGAATTCCAAACTGCGTTCTCTTTTCCCTTTTTTTTCCCCTCCTCTCGTCCTTGCGCTCCACCGAGAAAAGAGAGCCAAGCGGCAAAAATTGTGGAAATCACGAGGGCAGGTGGTCGCTTAGTGGTGCTTACTAACCAGCCACTCGCACGGCACTCGAGTCGCTCAGCTCGGCATCTGTGGACGCGCGTCCGATCGCAAATTGGCTGCCGCTCACTCCACCTGCAATGGGGCTGGCTCGCGCGGTGTTGTATTGCGGCCCACTCCACTCCACTGCTTTAGCTCCTACTGTCATCCATAGCATCGTCGCGACGCTATCTCGAACTCGCACCTGTATTGACCAGCCCGCGGCTCGACATCACTTCGTTCGGCTGTCCGTCGCAGAACATCTCCATCCCCTTCGCTCGAACCCGCTCGTCGCACCATGGGTCAAGCACCTAGTGGCGGCGCGCCCGGCCGCGGCGGCAAGGACAACAAGAAGGACCAGCAGAAGAAGTGGGAACCTCCCCTCCCAACACGCGTCGGCAAGAAGAAGAAGCGCGGGCCCGACTCGTCGTCCAAGCTGCCCGCCGTCTACCCGAATACGCGCTGCCGATTGAAGCTGCTCAAGCTCGAGCGGATCAAGGACCACCTCCTGCTCGAGGAGGAGTTTGTGCAGAATCAGGAGCGTCTCAAGCCGCAGGAGGACAAGGATGCAGAGGAGCGCACGCGCGTCGACGACCTCAGAGGCAGCCCCATGGCCGTCGGCACGCTCGAGGAGATCATCGACGACGAACACGCCATCGTCAGCAGCGCCACCGGCCCAGAGTACTACGTCAGCATCATGAGCTTTGTCGACAAGGACCTGCTCGAGCCTGGCTGCAGCGTCCTCCTCCACCACAAGGCCATGGCCATCGTCGGTGTGCTCTCGGACGACGCCGACCCCATGGTGAGCGTCATGAAGCTCGACAAGGCGCCCTCGGAGAGCTACGCCGACATCGGTGGCCTCGAGACGCAGATCCAGGAGATCAAGGAGTCCGTCGAGCTGCCGCTCACACATCCAGAACTCTACGAAGAGATGGGCATCAAGCCGCCCAAGGGTGTCATCCTCTATGGCGTGCCCGGTACGGGCAAGACGCTGCTCGCCAAGGCGGTCGCCAACCAGACCTCGGCCACCTTCCTGCGCGTCGTCGGATCCGAACTCATCCAAAAGTACCTCGGCGACGGCCCCAAGCTCGTGCGCGAGCTCTTCCGTGTGGCGGACGAGCACGCGCCCAGCATCGTCTTCATCGACGAGATCGACGCGGTGGGCACCAAGCGATACGACTCGAACTCGGGCGGCGAGCGCGAGATTCAGCGCACGCTGCTCGAGCTGCTCAACCAGCTCGACGGCTT